AATTAAAACATCTAAATGTAAAATCTCGCACCCAAAGACTCCATAGCTCTGCCGTCCACACATCTTTCCGTTGTTGTGATACTCTCCCATTGATCTGAAGACTGATGTTGTGCCTTTACCTTTTAGTACCTGGCTCACAAAACTTCAAGTCCAAGATATTAATGTATGTTATAAACAGTCTAATCATTTCTGCCGAACAACTTTAGATAGATATATGAGGATGTCCGGGTTAGTTTTACTTTTTCTTAACGTTATACCTTCATCATATGTCGCTGGTACTTTCTCTCTTTTTCTTCTTCTTTGTAAATTCTCATCAACATACCCTCTGCCCGAAAAGTACATACTACAAGTAAATATGAATCCATCATTGAATGAATTAAGTAATGCGAATATTAATATTATAATTGTATTCATTTATTGTCCTTTAGACTCTATTTTGCCTTAATCTGATATCTCAAACAACTCAACATTCCGTTATTTGTCTGCTTTTGAATACTTATAACAAGGGTTGGATTGCCCTTTGAATTTGCTGAGCTAGATTTTGCCAACATGTTTAGCATGTCAATGGTGTTGGCCTGCTATCCATTTTGCATACGGCACAAAACCACACAACCTGTTGATTATGGAAAGGGAAAACATGGACATCATTCTCTAGTTGTATGTATGCTCATTATGTTCGTGTATTTACTAGGTAGAACTCTGTATTATCAGGGTGGTTCAGTCTTTGTATTAATCCCGTTATGTACCCCAATGTGGGTTATACAAACAAAAGGAATGCATTTATGCGTGTACGTGGGCATGCCTCGTGCGTCATTATGGGTATCCTATTTCATACCAAAATAAAAAATTAAAAAAAAATCAATGTACATTCAATTTTGAAAATTTGAAAAGAAAGAATCGTTGATGTTGCTGATCAATATAAAATTCCTAGCTATTAGTATGGCATGATTTTCCCGGTTACTATAACATACTGCATTGTCTTAATTTCCTAGAGTTGAGAATTCAGAAAACGAAGTTTTCTAGAATGATACAGAAAACTTTCATCAGTTGGGGACAGGCGCGTACGCGCAGGGGGGTGGTTTTGGGGTTAAACCCCCCCCCCCCCCCCCTCGAGTTTTTTTATGTGTATGTTTTTTGTATGTTATTTTGGAAAACCCTCCCCTTTTGATTTTTTTTTTTTAAATTAAAAAAAATAAAAATAAATAAAAATTGCCAATGGGTGCCAATTGCCAATGGGTGACCTTACCCCCCCCCCCCCCCCCCCCAACTGGACAAAATGTCAAAATGTCAAATTTTAAAATTTCGAGACCAAAAAAAAAAAAAAGTGTCCTCTTCTTGCATCCAAGAAAAGTGGGCAAAATATAGGTCAAGCAAAAAAGGAAGAGTCATTTATCATTTGCATCATTAGCATTGTGTTTAAAAGTGCTCAGAAATGGGTTTCGCAACCAAGAAAGGTAGGCAAAACATGGACCAAGCTATATTGGATCATTAGCCCCATTGACAAAACCGGGCATTGACATAGGACCCATCCGGGTTCAGAAATGCGCTTCGCATTGTGGGGGAAATATGGGTCAAGTTATAATTATGGTCCAAAATATGGTTTACTTGTAAGTGCTAATCCCTTCCACTAATTCTTATTGACTAATAAACAGTGTACGATACAATAGTGCATATCATTCTTCAAATTAACCATCACAGCCATAGACGGTGTAAAGGCACAATTATTGATACCCTTTATTTTACGTAAGAAATCGTACATAATAATGATAATATTTATTTATTTATATAATTGAGCTACTCTACATTTACTATCCAAAACAACTGGATCATCAAAGATTTGAAGATGACAACAGATAAGTATTTTCTCATTTAAAGTTGAAGGTTGTTCAAAGGATTTGGAGCGGAAAAACGAAAGCGCAATTTTTAAGAGTTACTTTGGATTTAATTTTCGAAGCAGTTTTGAAGTACTTAAAATTCAATTTAATTTATATAGATGAAATTTTAAAGATAATGATTTGGATATATAGTTTGGAGTCATAGGATCTTTCCTTTTGGTTTGTAAACAAATAAAAGCATCTTAGATGCAGTTCTGTTCCGTATTATATTATGATGTTAAAATGTTAAAACAGATATATTAATATGAAGGGAAAATTCGAAAAATTGGCCACAAGTCTTGCACAGGCATTTTGAACACAAGCATGCATGGACAAGGGCTTCAGTGTAAAGGTGGTATCTACGGATGTTTCTACAAAAAAGGTTGCCAAAATTTGCCCAAAATGTTTTTTCGTTGAAGTAAGTCATGTTTTAAGTCTTTTTAATCCTTTTGACATGCCACTAGAATCGGAGAGCTCGTTTGAATATATTGTATCATAATGTGCAAGAGGATGTCATTTAGGAAACATTTCTGCAAGGATTTTCAAAAGAAATTTGCTTGAAGTCTATTATTGATGAAAGAATAAAAAAAATAGGTTTAGGCTGCATTAACACTTCAATCAAAAAACGATTCTTCTTAAAGAAAATCCAAATTATGTATTCTTTTATCAATATTTTGTCTCCAAACCCATTCTTTTCTTGGGGGCGGGGAATTTCGCAGAAGTGTGTCTTAACTGACATCCTCTCTCACATTATGATACAATTTCAGTGGAATTTTGCCATCAAATCTTTGGAGAATATTGGGCTCCCGACACTTTAGAGGTGGCTTTGATATCGAAACAAAAATCAAATTAAAATAGTAGAAATTACAATTGACACCTTATTACAGTTTTTTTTTAAGAGTTATCGTTGTGTTTAATATTCTCATGATAATTTTAACGTGGAAGCTTACCGTTTGCTAAATATCAGCAGTGTTGACTATAAATGCATCCCAGCTACCAAGTTTCATATGTATCTTGTTCAAATTTCAGTCAAAATAACAGTTAGCAACTCACTTGACAAGTTTGTTCTTGAACGTTTGATGAAGGAACAAAGTGAGGTTGAAATACTTGTATTACGCACGAGAAGAAACATAAAGGCTGGCGTTCATAGTAAATAGCGAACCCGATATTGGCACTATGTTATAAAACGCAGTGCACTATCCCTAGAAATTATTCCCAATACACATTCCGTTTGCAGAAATATGTTTTATCCGTAATCCGAGTCCCACTTAGAATCAACAAACAAGATACCATGACTAATAAGTACAGAAAGGTGGTGTAGAATGTGTTCGTATTATCTCTGGGCCGCCACTGGCGTACTGATAGGGGGAGGTGGGAGGGGGCTTGCCACCCCCATAATTACAATAATAAGTCTATTCGATACCGGTGATTTACAAATGTTGCTGAATAGACATAATTTTCCGGCTTTCTTTTTCTTTCTGCCCCCCCCCCCCCTAAAACGGTAATGCTCATTACGCCACTGCCTGTGCGTACACCAAAACGAAAGCTTTCACATGAAATGCACATTTCAATACATATTTTTTGGTTAGTCAGTCAGAAAAACTAATTGTGATGCAAATCATAACCTTGGCACGAGCTCGAGAAAGAGAGCGGGAGAGAGAGAGAGAGAGAGGGGGGAGAGAGGGGGAGAGAGAGAGAGGGGGAGAGGGGGAGGAGGGGCAGGGCAACTCAGGTATGTGGGGATCTGATCCCAGTTATTGGTAATTTGCTGTCCCAAACATTACAAATAAATAATAACTAAAAACGGGCATCGTGATTGCTAATGTTCTTTGATCTTATCCAAGCTCTCGCAGGGCTGTCAACATGATAAGCCAACCGGCAAAAGTCTGTGGTGAGGTCGGTAGCACAATACATAGTTATTATATTTATCTAGATTGTGCTCGTTCTGAAAGCACATACCCAAATCCTCTGTGTGCCCATGCCTTGAGCCATAATGCATGGCCGTCCAGAGGATTTTTTTTATGTTGGGGACCGGGGTAAATGCAATAAATTATTGAAAATGTATTGCATTTTCTGTTTTTTATTTTATTCATGGAAACTGCCCCTACCCTAGCCCCCGCTGCGTACAGTGACAAAAAGCAATGGCCTCGTAACTGTGAGGGCCCAGGATCAAAACCGTGTCGATGTGCTATATTAGTGCCCTTTTGTGGGGCATTAATCCTCATCACTGTCATTTGTGACTTAAGGGCGTAGGTCCCCTAGTTGATAAGCATAGTAGCATACACATGCTTTAGCAGTCACGCAAAACACACATTGGCAAATTATTATTCAATAAAATCTGAGAATGTATACTATTATCTAGATCTATTATTTTTAAATTATTTTTAAAATAATTCCATAAATTGGGGTAAAACAAAAATATTCCAACTATTGAGCGACAGTGTAGTAACACTAGTATCTGATGGTAGATATAGGCCTACAGCCATTAATGAACTCTTTGTAAATATCTTCCTGTATTAATAATTTATCTCTCTTTATACGCCGGTCAAAAAATATTTTTGGCAATGGAGACATGTGCATCCAAATAAAAAGTTTTCATGTATTGTATTGTATATTTCATGTTTTAGAAGGCAATGGGCCGGGTATGAGTTCTTCATTGCATGACAAGAATGAATCGAAAGATGCACGGTGATGTAGCTATATCGGGCACGATCGAGGGGGTGGGCCGGATGTCCTCGAAAAACGAAGAAAAACGAGACCTAAAGAAATAAGAAAGAGCGAGAGAGATGCGAGAGGGAATGGGAAGTGGCGAGTAGACGAAAGACCCTTCTACATTGAGCTTACCTATTTCATCCACCTAACTGTTTGTTACCCCCGTCCCCCGTCCCCCCCCCCCCCCCCCCCCCCCCCCCCCCCCACCCATGAAGCCCGAAACCTTCTTTTTTTGTATCCTATTTATTAGCCAGTCACTGCACCGTACGAGATAACGGTACGCAGATAATAGTATACGATATATCTCCTTTTTTTTCCTGACGTAAATACATTGCATTGTAATTGTGTACGTTAGATACGAGTAATTCGCATATCAATCGCATAGTGTAGTGAAACGTATGTAAACCCTAAACGTCGAAAAGACGACAACTATCTACAATTTTGAGAAGTTGCAGTGAACAAGTGGTATCTTGGTCAATTCTGATCGAAAGTTTAGAACTTTTGGACGATGTCTGATTCAGAAGATGAAGCTAGGGATAGGGGAAAACAACTGAAAATCGTCGTTGTTGGTGATGGTGCGTCGGGAAAGGTAAGCAGATATAGCTAGGCCCTATACCTAGGCCTAGCTCCTAGGCAGAGAAATATGGCGAGCCAGCGCCAGCGCGGACGGCCCAGGGCTAGCTGGTACTGGTAGCTTTGAGGAGGTAGACCAGGCCAAGGCCCAAGCCAAGGGCAAGACCAGGGCAAGACCAGGACCCGAATCCTCATGCAGGGTCATTAATCATGGCAATAGACACGAAAATCAGTTTATTTACTAGTTTGGACATCAGCGATAGTGTACTTTCGTAATCGTATAATTTTGTTACCCGAAACGAAAGGCGTAATTACGCGTAATTAACTCCGATCCGACTTGGAGATTACTAGAATCTAGACATCTCTACTAAGAAAATGGAGTCGGGCTAACTCGGACCCGGGAACAACTTGGCCCCGCTGCGAAAACAGTCAGTTTTTGCAGGTTTAGGGTTAGGGTTATATTTTCTTCATAAGATATTTTTCTGGCGAACAGAGCAACAAGACCAAGCTCTGTAATTATTAGGATCTATCTGTCCAGTAGTGCCGTGTTTGTGCCATCGAACTGGATCGACCAAATCAATTGATTCATAATATATATATATATATATATATATATATGCAATATTTTTCCTGTAACATGAGAGTAATTTTAATAGTTTCATACTATTAATTAAGTGTAATGTTAACTGTTATTGTATAATTGTTTTAAATGGGGGCACGCTACAAGAGTCCTATCTCGCACCCCGGGGCAACGTGTATGACACGGCCGGTTGTAGCAACTACTCCGAAGATCAAGATTACATTAATCTTGATCTAAGGAGACACGAACGAACGATAAGATATTTTGAGTAGTGTCCCAAGAGCGAAGGTACTCCGTACTTGGGCAAATTTTTGTACACAACAAACGGGAGAGTTACTGTGTTTTTTAAGTTGTGTGGATGCAATCTGTCATTGAGGTTGAAAAAAATCTCCTGAAGACTTGGATGCATGTTTGTCTGAATTTGACTTTCAGCACTGTTTTGCAACTTTACATTTCAACATGTATCCATATTTTTTAATTTTAACATGATTTTCCTTCTACAGACATCTCTAGCAACACGTTACTCCCAGGAACAGTTTGGCAAGCAATACCAACAGACTGTGGGTCTTGACTTCTTTCTCAAGAGAATATGCATTGCTGGTATGCATTATGTAGACATAATATTACTGCTATTTATGCAGGGGGACAGTTTTAGGTATACAGATACTACATGCTTTATTAGGAATTTATTGTTTTGTACGTCACTTATATTTTTTTAACAATATAAGGACTGTTGTGAATCAATATAAGATCTAAACATGTTTTATTTCTACATCTGATTAATGTTTAGTGTGAGTAATTTCATCTCCTAAAGCCATTATTGTCTGTTAAGGATTTACCATTATCTTGGTAAAGTTATCTTACCGAATTTTTCCCCAATTAATAGCATAGACTTCAAAGTCAGTGAGGGACTGAAAAAAGTATATGATATTCAATTCTACGACAATATCAAAAAGTATTTGTCATTTTGGGCGTTTCAATATTAGTTTTGCTTTTGTATCACAATTGCAATAATTGATGTACAGTGTAAGTTGCCTTTGATTGTGTATGTAATTTTAGAATCATTATGTAGCAATTTCTTCTGAAGTTTGAACAAGCCATGAATGTTTTCTTCTTGCATGTCTATCATTTCAGACAACACTCATGTTTCATTACAAGTTTGGGACATTGGCGGACAGACGCTTGGAGGAAAAATGCTGGAAAACTATTTATATGGAGCTCATGTAAGTGAATGCCAAGACAATGCGTGACGATACTGCTAATTTTGTTTTGTTTCTCATTTCATTGAATGTTGTGATTGCTGCATAGTATAGAAAATACTTGGCAGTTATACAAATTATAATGATAATCAGCAACAACTTGAGATCAGGAAAAATAGTACTACACATGTACATATTACATGATCCATGATATAGAAAACGCCCTTGAGTAATGAAAATTATGATAATCATCACAAATATTAGACTGAAGATTAATGATCTATTTAAAAAATTATATTTATTGCATCATTGCAATCTGAGTAAAACTTAAAACTTATATTTGGAGTGGAATATGTATATTAATGTTTTTTTTAACTCTTTGTCCGCGAAAGATTGAAATGCTAGACTGCCGCATGTAAACATTATATTGCATTGGTCCACCTTGTGTTCTGGTGTCAACTGAATCAGATAAAGAGTCAATGCTTTCAATGATAAATGACATTTCCTATCCTGTTGTTGTCTTCATACAGGGAGTGTTATTGGTGTATGATATCACTAATTACAGCAGCTTTGAGAACGTCGAGGACTGGTATCAGAAGCTCAGGGATGTCTGCAAAGATGCAGACAAGTTCCCCCATGTTGCACTCGTGGGTAATAAAGGTATGTTGATATTCATGAGTTGTTCTTACTGTCAAAGATGTATACATGGCAGGTGGAAGCTTAGAGTCATAATTGTGCTGTCACGGCTAAGAAATCTATTTGTTAATTATATACCGGTACTCTTTTTGATTTGATTTGATTTGATTCGGTTTATTGAAATAAAAGAACATGCAGCTGGGAAGCTGAAATAATTCAATTTACAAAGTCAATATACAACACAATAAACGAACAAAATATAAATGACTAAAACGTACGACTATAAATTATGCAAAATGAGAATCAAATATTACATCAAAATCTAAATATATTACAAACATTAAATCAAAATCGAAATATATTACGAATATTACATCAAACTCGAGATATATTACAAATATTACGTTAAAATTCAAATATATTACAAATATTAAAAACATTAAAAACATTAAAAACCTTCTGTGTCATCAAAAAAAAAGGGAGAGAGAGAGAGAGAGAAAGAGAAAGAGAAAAACGGAACTAGAAATGTATTGTGTAAAGAAAGAAGAAAGAGGAAAAAGGTGATAATAGCTGAGGAAAGGGGTTAAGAAAAGAGAAAGAAAAAAGAAAAAGATGAGGACCTAAGAGAAGAGGAAGGAGAAGGGGTTTCACACAAAGCATGAGTAACATGATAAAGCACGTAATGTAACAACCTAAAAGTACAAGGATAATATTATCAGAAAGATATTGCACGAGGTAAAGTAATATGGGTATATTACATTGAAGAACAATAAAATCAAAGTTATTAGAGGAAAGGTGCAATATGTCAACAACGTGTTAAAGAGAATAATTATACAAGTAAAGAATTGAGAATACACAATAAGGCAATACACTTGCATGTAAATGGATAGTGATACAGAGTAAAACTATTTGCTTATAAGGGGAAGAAAGAAGAAAGAAAGAAAGACAAAAAAAGGAAAAAAGAAAATTGTGATGACCCCACTGACATTTCAAGGAATAGAGAAATCATGCATCTTATAAACGATAGAGAGGAAACAGATACGAATAGAAGAAGAGAGGGGAAGAGGGAAGACAAGAAAAAAGGGAGTATAGAAAAGTGAAAAATAAGATCAAAGAACAGGGAATATCCATGATAAAAAAAATTGCAAATTAAAGTGAACTGCATTATAGATAATCATTGAAGATCATTGCATTTTTACATGTAATCTCAACAAAGTAACACAGCTATAAACAGTGAGAGAGATAAATAGATAAATGAATAGTTGATATAGCTGCATTACAATGACGAATTCAAAACTAATGGCATTCAAGGAAAAGAAAAATCATGCATCTTATAAACAATAGAGAGGAAACAGATACGAATAGAAGAAGAGAGGGGAGAGGGAAGGTAGTAAAGATAGTGTAGAATAAGATCAAAGAACAGGGAATATCCATGATAAATAGGTTTGCATATTAAAATGAACTGCATTATAGATGATCATTGAAGATCATTGCATATTACGTGAAATCTCACAAAAATAACACAGCTATGAACAGGGAGAAAGATAAATAGATAAATAAATAAGTTGATATACTGCATTACAATGAGGAATTCAAAAGGACTGACAGAGAAGGGATAGTTGATAGCCTATATCTCTGCGTTCTACAAAATGGAATGTCAAGACTATGAGAGTTCCGAAGTTGTAATCGCGTACGGGACTGTGATTGTCTAGTAGGGGGCAAAAAGTTACGATAGCGATCAGACTGGAGCAAACCTTCACCAAAACGAAGGAGAAGCTCATTCCTTCTTAGTTCCAAGGAAGTGAGTCCATACAGGATGAGTTGCTTACTATACGAGAGAACATTGGGGAAAGCTATGCAGCGGAGGACACGTTTTTGAACCCGCTCAAGTTCATCAACCTGAGCCTTGGTGAGACTTGATCCCCAGACAGGTGATCCAAACTCCAACAATGGACGAAAATATTGTCAAAACAAATCTGTAAAGAGTACCAATAACCTATTGAAGAAAATTAAGAGTTTCCAGCTAGAATGTATACCTGCAACCTCAAAAAATGTTCACTCAGCTTTTTATAGGCTGACAGATAAAGAATTTGAAGAAAATAAAAGAGTAACATAAAACCATGCATGTGTTCCTTGCGGGCCTATGCGAGCATGTACAGCTCTGCCATGTTCACAAGTTGCTTTTACGTTAATTGAGATTGTATTTTAACTTGCAAAATGTAGAAGTAATTAATGAAGCTTGTACCTAGATATAGTATTACGAAATGCAACTACTAACATACAAAACAAAATATTGTATGGTGATTGATACACTTTTTAAGATGACATTTTCAATGAACAGGAGTCATGCCTGACCAAATATTGTATGTTCAAACAATGGGCAGCCCGTTTTAGTTCTCTTATAATTGCAATTCCTAACAGCTTTTAGAGTTTCAAATGAACAGATAATTACCGGACCAGTACTTATTGTTATTTGTTAATCTCTTTGTTTCTTGAAAGCCGACTTGGAGCATATGAGGACAGTGAAAGATGAGAAACATCAAAAGTTATGTCAAGAGCACAACATGTCCAGCCATTTTGTCTCTGCGAAGACAGGTGATTCGGTAAGTCGAGTGGACAGTGTCTTCTTTGCCTCTCAACTTTAAACACACATTATCAGTTGGATATCAATTTTAGTATAACATGCATTTTTAGTCTACCCCAGACCGAGTTATCTCCAGTTTTGTACTTGACAGGCTTGCAGCATTTGCTACATGTATCACACACAAGGCCATTCAATATTATACATTTATTATTTGAATAAAGTTTAGATGGAAGTATAGAATTTAAGAGCAGAAGTGAAATTCTCTAATAGTTACTCAATTTTAATCTATTGCTTTCGATGCTACATCTCTGCCATAGAAAGGAACTAAATTAATCAAAGATTGATCTAAAGTTAAACTGATTTAATGGTCTTTAAGTCTAATACTGATGTGTTAATGTGATGTATATTAAAGAAGTTGTAGCAAATACATATACACAATTATTATGATGGAATATTAAATTATCAATATGATAAATAAATTTCTAATTCAATTGTCAGTCCGATAATAGCTGAAGTTGATTCAGTTATTAATGAGTAAAGGTAAGTATGATTGCCTTTACATTAGTTGCAAGTGCACTTGCAATAATTGCCTTTTTTTAAAATTCTTTCATGCTTCTTGGTAGATAACAATCAATTTGTGTGTTTTCTTTCCTCATCTACCATTATAACTAATGATAATAAAGTCTTTTTCTTTCTTGGCATGCAGGTTAATTTATGTTTCCAGAAAATAGCTGCAGATATCCTGGGTATCAAACTGACAAAAGCTGAAATCCAAAACAACACTGTATCCTTTGTACTATCATTTTATAGTGGTGATAGTTTATATGCGTTAACTTTGTAACATATTTGAACAAAGAAATCTGAAAGGGAGGGAGCATACAAAATGGAAATAGTAATGGAATTCAATACACAAGGCCTCTTGATATTTACATACATGTTTATATACATTGATGAAAGTAATGATAACATTTTGGCAGTATAGGGACGACTGCCCCTGGACAACATCACCCATCCGCTTGGGTAGTTGTGGTGGGATAGTTGTCCTGGGTAGTATGGGGTACCGGGTAGGTCTTTTTTCAGATTGGAGTTGTCCATTGAAGATTGTCTGGGGAGTACTGTAAGTGTTTTAATATTCCAATGCTTCAAACTATTTCAACATGGAGATGAAAGTACATGTAAGTCACTAAAAGTTGTCATGAAAGAATTATGTATGTATAATTATAATATTTGGTTCTTGTATAGCGCATATTACATTATAACGTCTCTATGCGCTTCCAAAGAGCTTTGGAAATTATTACCCCGGCTTTTAATAGCATGGCTGCCATTACGGCGCTCTAGCATTTCAAGGAATAAATTCCTGCCAGGTACCCATTTTCATACATATATATGTATATATTTTGTATGGAAATTTTTATGCTCATTTTAAAGACCTGTTTTTAAGAAACAGAAATAGATATATCTACAGAAATTCTCTTCAGACATACAATTATTATTTCCTTGACTCTAGTCTTCCCAATCCAGCGAGTGGTCAAGGCTGAAGTACTGAAAGCCCGGGAAGACCCTGTACCGAGACCGATGTCATCTCACACGCGGAGTTCAATGTGCTCTGTCATGTGACGCTCATCGATGTGTTGGTAGACTTTTGAAAGCTAAGAAAACTGTGGTGACCATCGTGTTCTTTGATCCTTCGTTGCATGAGGCATCTTCACCAGAGGAGAGTGATTGGCAAAGGCTTGCTGTCGTGTTGCTTGATGAAATGAAGCATCCAGCCTTCACTATTGGATGTCCTTTTGTTAGACTGCAACCAAGGTCATCATGGATACCGTCATTGTTATCTTCTCGTCATCTTCTCGTCATCATTAACATCATCATCATCATCATCATCAACTCATCTTCATCATCACCATCATCATCAACATCAACATCAACATCATCATCATTAACATCATCATCATCATCATCATCACCATCATCACCAACATCATCATCAACATCAACATCATCATCATCATCATCATCATCAACATCATCAACATCAACATCCTTATCAGGGATTCCAGCTTTCAATCTCTTGCCTAATTTCAGGCTCCGTCACCTCTCTGTTTCATGATTTATATTGTACTTAACATGTACGGTCTCAATATGTTAGGGTCATTGTGTAAAACTTTATGGTTTCCCTGCCCCTTCAGTTATCATCATCGTTGTCTCCATTTTAATTATGATTAGGCCTTCAAAAAAAAATGTGGTATTGCCCTTTAGTTGCCAAAACATGGATCGGTCGGTCGGAAATCTTCTTTTTTTTAATACTTGTTTTCTTCTTTTTCCACCGTCTTTGGGCTGATATTTCTCAGTTTTTTGCTTTAATACATATTTTTTTCTCTATAAACGGTAAAAAAAAACGTTTAAAAAAAGCCTACCGTAGATTGTTTGGTCGGTCGCAAAGGGCAAAAGAACATTTTTTTTTTTGGCCTTACCCCACTACCACCAGCACTTCTACTGCCACAAAAAAAAAATCATCATCATCATCACCATCATCATCATCTTCTTAGCCAGGCACGTTAGAGGATGCTGGGAGCTATTTGATCATTTTCACCTTGAAACCCTAGCAGCTCACCGGGATTGGATGACACAAGTACTCTTAAGGGAGTGGAGATGGTGCACACTGTACCAGATTTGTTTTCCTTTACAGTAAAGGGATAAATCAGATGATTTATGTTGTAATTAATAACGTCTTTATTCTTTTGTTTATATTAAGCAGTTAATGAATGTCAAAAGATTTAAGTTGCATTCCAGTTTTCATGTGCCATACGGAAGAGATGATGTGTTCGTTTTGTTTGATTTATTTTTTAACCATATACAAGAAATTTATTTTATAAATTTTAGACGTTGAGAATATTTTCCATGCGCAAAATGATATGGAATGATTGAAGAGCTGATTTGTAGTAGCATAACTTATTGTATTCTGGAAGAATATCAGAATTGTTATTATAATGACCGTTTTGGTTGTAATAAAGTATAAAAGGATCTCTGGTCATAATACACTGCATACTGTACAAAATACATGTACAACATAACATGCATGTCCCCTTTTATCCCCACCATAAAACCAAAGCCAATACTCTTTCTTTTTTTTTCTGTCATTAATGTTTCATTGTTGTGTGTATTCGATCTTATTCTGTAACGTATTCTAGTATGTGTAGCTTTGATTTTTATTCTGTGTGCAATTTCACTCTTCTTGGTTCATGATAAAGTATCACACTTTGTGTTTGAAACTTTGAATTGATTTCAAAGTACTGTTAATGATTTGAGCCTCAATTGTACTATAAGTTACGGCGTCATGTATTAGCGTTGAGCTTAAAAGAGCAAACTGCGTAAGTACTTCAATTGACTGCATACCTTGCACATACATGTACTTGAATATGATCTGAGGACAGAGCCATATTCTGACTTGAGATGTACATGTATCATTGTAGTACTATTCACTAAATTATCTTTGTGTGTGAAAAGTTGATAAACAACAAATGCATGGACCATTTATCAATATTGGATTGAAATTTAAATTCAGAGGGTTTTCTTTGAATATATGTAAATTGAATGAAAAATTTCAAATTGTTCATAGCATTATTTTACTAGTATTTGACTAATGTTCAAGCTTTATGGGTATTCAGACTAGATACTGCTCTCCAGCACTCTTTAATGAAATAGCATTGGATAACATAGTAGGAGCTGCTATCAGAGCCCTGTTTTATAAAGTGTTACAGTTGATTTGAATCAATCACAACCCTTTTCAAGATTTCAAGATCATTGTAGATCGGTGGTTCAAGACCCAGGCCGAGGGTTGTCATTATCTTTGGTTTAAATTCCTTTTTCTTGTAAGTTTTATTACTTTTCATGTGAATTGTACTTGAAATCACTGCACTCGAAGAGACAGGATACATGCATGTGTTGATCTCTGAGAATCTGAAGTGTTCACTTGGTAAAATTCTAAACTATCACAGTGTGCAGAAGCCTGCAGATTGACTGGAAATATACCCCCCTCTTCTGTTTATTTAGGACAATGATGCAATCACATGCTGATGTTGAGTTACCCATACGTGTACTATTCTCCCCATCTATTGAAATGGGCATAAATTGATTTGGTTTAAGATTGCACTGAGTTAAGTCTTTACTTTCTAGGAAAAGTTTTACCATTCTCCAGTTTTGGTGATTGTTAACTTGTCATAAAAGTACATTTTTAAAGATCCCCCCCCTTTTTTTAAATATGTTTAGGTTTCAATGTACAAATATGGGGAGAGGAGATAATATTTTTCACTACAGTACACTTGGCGTGTATATGAAGAAGAAAAAACTATTAACAAGTTCTGACTTGTATAAATAGAGACTCTTGTAAATATATGAAAATATGTTATTATTATGTGTACATACTAGAAATCTTTATGAAGTCTTACAAATTACAAAAATGTGTAAAATTATGAGAATCTAATTTTATTGGTGTGATGATTATTGTATTTGAGTTCATGTAGTAGTGTATGTTTTTTGTTTGCAAGACTGTAATGAAAGTTCCTTACAGGTTTAGTGTGTTCATCTTGAATGCCATAATTGTGTGGTGCAGGGGTTTTCTTCTCAAAATACAACTTTTTGTGGGCATTTTTTAGCAAGGGCGCTCAACATGCTTAGCTCAGCTTACCATATAATAGCATACTCATTCTTTTGCTATATTTTTAAACATGCTTCATTGGCCATTGCTAATGATTTTAGATTTTCGTGAGTCTGACTTCCATACGCTTCTGATGAATGTATCAAAATAGCTAATTGAGATCTAGTGCATGAATTGAAAAAGAATATTGTATGAGTATGCTCAAATAGGTCCGTTATAAAACGTGAATTGATCAGATTTTTTTTGAATGGGTGGTCAAAGCCCATTATTAGGGAATAAAATTTGAAGTTTGGTACATGCAAATCTTGTATCAGACTTATACATACAAGTGCAACATCGAGTTCAAATACAAAACCAAATAATGTGAAGAGGACATATCTGGACAATGTGAAGATAAATCCTAATACATGATGTCTTGTGATGGTTTGAGGGAATGAAAGTGCAGAGAAGTTTATATTTTAGAGGGAGTTTTTTTGTCATGATAGACTTGTTTGTAAATTAGAATGCAAAGTTTGATACTGTGAGGGTTGTGCAAGTCACTCTGACTTTGGTCTCGTCTCATTTTGAAGACTCTTATTCTTGTACTGTTATTTTTCCACATGTCACTTGTGTATTTGTAATAAAAACAACCGATAAATCATCACTATTTTGTCTCCTCTATTTTGTATTGAAAATTCTCTTCAGTTTGTATTGAAAGATATAGAAGTTCCACTCTCAAACTTTATTTCAATACACCTCTCAATCTCATCACCAATATCTCTTAATATCATTGTGTAATACTGAATATAAATGTATGCCTTTGTTCCTAACCACATTGCATCAAAATCACACCTGATGTTAACACAAGTTATCTTACAAGGCTACTTTAAAATATCTAGGAATAATACTTTCTCTTTTCAATTCAATTTTCATGATAAGGATGAAAATAAAAAAGGGTCTACTTCATTACTTAAGATAAATGACTCGAAATTTGGTTCCTATCTATCCCGTTCAATCTTACAGAGAGCAAAATTATGTGACCAATTCTACCGAGTACTGTTAAATAGTATAAAGATGGTTATCAATCTTCAAACTCAAATATACTTAATAAAATCAAATGAATTACAAATGAAGTACAAATAAACAAAACAAACTGTATATATGAAGTTTATTATTCCATAATCTAATTTTGACAAGCAAGAGTTAGTGCTCTAAATATATACACAGTACAAGCATTAAAGCTCTCTTATTTAATATTCTTGTACAAAATTTCAAGATAATTTTTTTTTTAATGACATGAAATCACTCTGAATGTTCATGATTTGGAATGGTATGGAATCAGTTAAATCCCTGAGTATTTTCTGGTGGTTACAGCACCATTTATGATCATCCTTTGCGATAGGTGCTTCATAAATCCAATTCTTCTTCTTATTAAACATTATAGCCTCCACTCCCACATAAGGTGCAAAGAAAACATAACATCTGCTGTATTTATTTTTTGAAATGGCATGAGGCAATTTCATGAATGGAAAAGCAGAGCCCATTACACATTCTCTCTAATCCGAATGTTGCATTACCGGGGTTCACAAATAATGTGATGTGCACAATTAACAATTATTGTGCCACTGTGTTTTTGTTTGTTTCCTTAGTTTGGTTGATTATTTGTTTTTTGTAAGCAATTCAGCACCTTATGTCGGCATGAGACTTTTTAGAGGAACGGAACAAAGATGGATCAAAAGATATAATAATAAACACAGAAATAGATGGAAAGGGAAATTTAACTACATAAAAAGATATGGGTATAGTCGTAGAGAGAAAAAAGTAGAGTAAAAGCTCTTTCAGATATGTTGCGGTATGTCTTCTTTTTCTTCTAGTGTCTCTCTTTAACTTAAGCCTTTATTCTGCATCTACTAATTCCAATGCTTGTCTTGTCTTCTTATTTTCAGAGTATATGACGAGTTCATGTGATATCTTCTGCACAAACAGATTTGTTGTGATGTACAACATCAATTCTATTGCAAACATTAGGAAAAATAAAATCTTTATCTCTTACAAAAATTTACAAAACATCATATAAAAGGTATAAGGATTGATAACTTATAACTATGATGGTATCTATACTTCTATATTAATACCATCTCATAAAAATCATATTTTTATAAGCAACTTTTGTGGAATGATTCAATCAAGATTACACAAATTCAACGTAACATAGTAATAGCCTTGCTTCAATAAGTAGTTGTCTTTTGAACAAAATGTATTTGTTTTCAAATGTGATAAACTGCTTTACTGGGTCTCA